AAAAAAAAAAAAAAAGTTTCTTCCTAGCCTTTCCATTTCCTACTTAATCAAATCACTTAAAACAGTAATATCCTGAGGCAGGAGGATCCCTGGAGCCCAGGGTTCAGGTACAGCCTGGACAACGTAGTGAAACTCCATCTCTGAAACATACAAAAACAGTAGCCTTTCCCATCCTTTCTCAAGCAAATTAAAGAGGTTATGAAAGAAGCAGTACGTCTTTGCCTTGAGGGATAGTAAGATACTAAGAACAGTCAGTACTGATAACAGACATTGAGCAGACACTATAAGCCAGGCCTGTGCCTCCTTGAATTCCCCCAATACCTATTATTCTCATCCTCACTTTATAAGTGAAGAAATGGAATCCTAGCCAGCAAAAGCAATTCTCCAAGATTATACCTGTGGATGTTAGAGGTGGGATTCAAACCCCAGCTGTCTGACTCGAGATCATCCACTCATTCATGAGTCAATATTTATTGCACATCTGTCACATGCCTGGCTCTGTCCCAGGTCCTGGGTGAGGGTGAGGGGTGCTTTGTGAGAAAGACTGTGGGTCAGGAGCTCATGTTTTGTTTTGTTTTTGAGTTGGAGTTTTACTGTCACCCAGGCAGTACAGTGGCACACTCATGGTCACCCTAGCATCGACCTGCTGGGCTCTGGTGATCCTTCCGCCTCAGTCTTCCAAGTAGCCAGAATTACAGGCAAGTGCTACCACGCCCAGCTAATTTTTTTGTTTATTGTAGAGATGAGGTCTCGCCAAGTTGCCTGGATTGTTCTCGAACCTGTGAGCTTAGGCAATCCACTCACCTAGGCCTCCCAAAGTGCTGGGATTACAGGTTGAGCCACTGAGCCCGGCCTGGAGCTCATGTTCTTTTTTTTTTTTTGAGTTGGGGTCTTACTCTGTCGCCCAGGCTCCCGACCACTGCAGCCTTGACCTGCTAGGCCCAGGTGATCCTTCCAACCTCAGTCTTCCAAGTAGCTGGAACTATAGGAATGCACCATCACGCCCGGCTAGTTTTTTTTTTTTTTATTGTAGAGATGAGGTCCTGCCAAGTTGCACAAACTGGTCTTAAACCCATGCGCTCAGGTAGTCCTCTCATCTTGGCCTCCCAAAGTGCTGGGATTATAGGCGTGAGCCACCATGCCCGGCCTGAGCTCATGTTCTTAACTGCACATGCAGAATCCCACTGAGACAAGTTTGAAATGAGTTATATTCAGTTAGATATGCAACTCAGAGTAATCTGTTATTATAATATTATATATTGGTATTTTTTTTTTTTTTGAGTTGGAGTCTCACTCTGTCGCCCAGACTGGAGTGCAGTGGCCGCTCCCAGCCACCGCAGCCTCGACCTGCTGGGCTCCAGCGATCCTTCAGCCTCAGCCTTCCAAGGAGCTGGAACTACAGGCGTGTGCTACCACGTCCGGCTAATTTTTTGATTTATTGTAGAGATGAGGTCTCACCAAGTTGCCCAGGTGGGTCTCAAACCCATGGGCTCAGGCAATCCACTCACCTCGGCCTCCCAAAGCGTGGGATTACAGGCTGAGCCACCAAGTCCAGTGGTATTATTTTTAATTGAAATTACTGCTGTTATAAAATGGTGTTAGTATGTTAGCAAAGAATCTTTTTTTTTTTTTTAATTGGAGTCTTTGTCGCCCTGGCTGGAGTGCAGTGGCACGATCACAGCTCACCGCAGCCTTGACTTCCTAGGCACAGATGATCCTTCTGCCTCAGCCTCCCAAGCAGCCGAGACTACAGGCATGCACCACCACATGTGGCTCATTTTTTGATTTTTTTTTCTTTTTGTAGAGAAGAGGTCTCTCTCTAAGTTGCCCAGGCTGGTCTCAAACACCAGGTCTAAAGTAATCCTCCCACCTTGGCCTCCCGAAGTACTGGCATTACAGGTGTGAGCCAGCCACCGTGCCCAATGGCAAAGAATCTTTCTGAAATAAAATCCTGCAGCTTTAGGAGGTGGGAACAGTCGACTCAGTCACATCAATAGGAAGACCCTGCTGGCAACATGTTTAATAATATACTCTTCTCTGCCAACTTGGTGTCCCATGATACAGCTGGCTGCACAGTTGTCACACTTGGAGGCCACGTCACACCTAGGCTTTGGCTGCTGTGTGTGTCCTCACTTGTGGCTCCCGGCCCCCCGACTCTGATCCATGACCACTTGTAGCCTGCTACTGATGCTACTCCTCAGACAAATGTGAAAATGGCTGGCTCACCCCTGCTCGAAAGAAGCTTCCCCTGGCAGAAGAGCCACAGCCACGTTACAATAAGGAGAGAACAAAGGGCAGATGATGGAAACACAAGTGGACTATAAATCCTGGCACCATCAGAGGCTACGTAACTGGAGCCGGAGTATTCCATGACGAGGACACAGTCCTGACGGGATACCAGGGTACTGTGTGGAAGTTTACTCAGGATGGAGGTAAGTTCATGACTTAACTTCCTGGCATAGGAATGATCTGCAAGCTCTCCAGTTCAGTGCCCAAGGAGTGTGCAAAAGCCTGCCTTTACAATTCTTCACGTAATCTCACATAAAGGGCATGATCACAGCAAATATTCTCTTTTGAATGCCAACCACAAGGTTTTTCTCCATTTTTTCTTTCAATTTAGTTTTCTTTCTTTTTCTTTTTGAGAAAGCAGGATTTATTGAGAGGACAGAAAAGCTCCTGCAGTCGAAGGGGACACGAAGGGGTTACCCCCCTTTTATTTTTTTTGTCTGGGTCTCACTCTGTTGCCCAGGCTGGAGTGCAGTGGCACGATCATGGCTCACTGCAGCCTCGACCTTCTGGACTCAGGTGATCCTTCTGCCTCAGCCTTGCAAGTAGCTGGAAATACAGGTGCATGCCACCATGCCTGGCTAATTTTTGTATTTTTTTTGTAAAGACAAGGTGTCACTATGTTGCCCAGGTTGGTCTCAAAACTCCTGGGTGCAATTGATTCTCCTGCCTCGGTCTCCCAAAGTGCTGAAATTATGGGCATAGGCCACTGTGCCTGGCCACAAATTTAGTTTAAAAAGGGGGACTGAGTGGACGGAAAATAGAAACACTTTTACAAAGTTGTCCTGGAGCAGATATTAGATACATTTTACATTCTTTATGTTCTTCCTGTTTGTTTGCCTGATAAATAAATGTATATACATATATTATATATATATATATATATCCATTTTTTTGTTGTTGTTACAGTCTCACTCTGTTGCCCAGGCTGGAGTGCATGGCATGCTCACTGCCACCCCAGCGTCAACCTGCTGGGCTCCGGCGATCCTTCCGCCTTAGCCTTCCAAGTAGCCAGAACTACAGGCGTGCGCTACCACGCCCAGCTAATTTTTCATTTTATTGTAGAGACGAGGTCTCACCAAATTGCCCGGGCTGGTCTCAAACCCACGGACTCAGGCAATCCTCTCGCCTCAGCCTCCCAAAGTGCTGGGGTTACAGGCTGAGCCACCAAGCCCGGTCCAATTTTTTAATTTAATTTTTATTTTTAGAGATGGAGTCTTACTCTGTGCACAGGCTAGAATGCAGTGGCACGATCATAGCTCACTGCAGCCTTGAACTCCCAGACTCAAGGCCTTAAGTCATCCTTTCACCTCAGCCTCCTCAATAGCTGGGATTACAGGTACAAGCCACCGTGCCCAGCCTCATTTTATTTTTTTAATTGACAAATAATAATTTACATAATGATGGAGTACACAATGATGTCTACATCTATAGGGATCAAATCAGAGTAATTATTATATTGGTGTCCCTTGGATTCAGTAGCAATAGAAATATACTCTAAGGACAAAAGGCAAACAAAAGAAAAAGAAAAGCAGGACAAGCATCCTAACCTCAAACACTGGACTAACCCAACTATTTACTCACACAAAGGAGCTATTGAGATAGCCTTTTTAGTTGACCAGCTGGTGGCCAGTAAAATAAACCGCAGCTCACTTGTATTCCCACTGGGGACACATAAGACTTCAGGTATCCAATGTATGTCTGTGTAGCACACACTTGAAAGAAAATGTAGCAAAACAAAATGATGCATAGAAATTGATGGTATCCGAAAGGGAGGCTGGGTCAATGACTCTGACATGCAGCTGGGTGGGGACAGAAAGGATGTCCGAATTTACCTGACCGTCGGGCAGTCTTGCCTCCCGGCTAGTTGTGAGCACTGTGGCGGTACGGGGGCAGCAGGCTGCTGACAATCTATAAGAAACTGACAAATTAGACGTGTATACAAAGCGACGACAGAGCGAGGTGTTAGTAACAATAACTAAAGCAGCTGCCTGAGAGATTTAGTGAGGAATATGCATTTACACAGAAACATCTGGAAGCATTTTTTGCTCCCTGAATGATGCCAATAGACAAGACAGGTCTTTTTTCTTCATTAAATACAATGTTAAAAACTTAGTGACACAAAATTAGTAACGAGATTTCTCAAGTACATTAGGACATCTGTGGCCATGTGTAGTTGGTATTTTGTTACATCTAAAAATAAAGGGTCTATTAATATAATGAAAGATCTTTGAGTTCTGAACTCGAACATGATGCTAATTACTTGCTTAATGCTTAGATTTGCTATTCCAAAATGGAATATCTATTTGGATAGCTGGTTTTACTGTCAGGACACACAGACATATTGTCAGTCCTATAAGTACACTGAGAAAGGCATGCAATATGCTCTTTTCCGTGATTGTTAGAATGCTATTGAACAAGGAAATCACCTTTAGAGTTTTCTGAAAACTGAGTTTATATATTTAAAAAAGGATTGTTAGCAGAAATCTTAGAATTATATAGTAAATTGTTAGTGATTTGGACTAATGGAGAACACTAATCTGAATGAATGGGAGCTCCATTTTCTTTTGTCGTCACCATTTTGTTTTATTTTATTTTTAAATTTTTGGAGTCGGAGTCTCACTCTGTCACCCAGGCTGGAGTGCAGTGGTACGCTCACAGCCACCACAACCTCAACCTTCTCAGGTGATCCTTCCGCCTCAGCCTTCCAAGTAGCTGGGACTACAGGCGTCAGCCACTGTGCCCGGTATCTTTACCATTTTAAAGTCACATAATGTAATTCACACTAGATTAACAACGTGCTAGCAAGTGAAAATTGTATGATGCTTTAGCTAATCACATGAGTCACCAACTCCTAGAAAGACTGTGTTCTAAAAAATCAAAGAGAAGTCTGTTTACTGAGACGAGTCTGATCATACTCATCATGTGAAAAGCTGGTTAGAAATGCATACATCATATTTTTGCAAAACGATTTTTGCAAAAAGAAAGTTAAAATTCGAGTTAGACTTGAAAATTAGTATTAAATAATCGAAGCATTTCCTTTGCTGACTGCTTAGACTATGTATTTCCTTAGCAAACCTCTTTCCTTACATGTTATATAAATGATACTTAAGTCAAATTATCACAGATTCTAGATTTACAGTCTTAAATTAATGAAGTGGGATACAAAATCAAATGATTTTGGGTTCATTTAAGAAAACATCACTACTGAAGGGACCTCTTATATGGTGGTCTTTGTCGCAGAGTCAACATTACATATGAATAGGGATGAGGAGAGCTGATTTTCATGGCATAGCTGGTGCTCAGATGATAACACTCAAATGTAACAAATAATTATGCTTTCTCAGATTTGGGGACTTCTGTGAGTGTTTTCCCATTTTGCAGCTTGATTAGCTCCAGATTCCCTTTTGTAGAAACTCAGAGTCTTAAGAGACACATTCATTTGTCTCTTAAAAATGTTTGTCTGCTCCTTGTGTCTTTTCCAACAGTTTTCCTTCCTGAGTGGTAATTTAGGAATGTCTTGGACTAATTTAGCCCATTATGTTGATAGGCCACCAGATGTGCAGTTTTCAAGTCAACCAGGTGTGTGTGGGGCCCTCCTATGGTGTATTTGAGTAAATGCAATAGATGTAAATAAATGCAAGCACTCCAAAAACCACTCTGGAATCCTTTAGCTTACAACGCCAGGGAGGGATCAATTAAGCTCCTCTAAAGCTGAGTACTGGCCCCTGTGAATGGCCAGCCTTAGAATTAGAGTAATTAGGGTAGTAAAATGGCTTAAATCTTTTTTTATATCTCAGTTATATTAAAACGATTTTTTTGCCAAGAGTCACAGATTATTTATTCAAAGTATACTTTATTTTTTTTTATTTTTATTTTTTTTGAGTTGGAGTCTCACTCTGTCACCCAGACTGGAGTGCAGTGGCCGCTTCTGGCCACTGCAGCCTCGACCTGCTGGGCTCCGGCGATCCTTCTGCCTCAGCCTTCCCAGTAGCCGGAATTACAGGCATACGCTCAAAGTATACTTTATAATAAAATTTAGAAAGCAGGTGATCAGAACCACAATGCACTCTCTTAACATTTGTTTCACAGTGTGCTATCCTTAAAGAATAAAAATAAAAATAAACTCCAGAGAATAAATGATGATAGCTGTAGACCTTAAGCTAAGAAAATAGCTCTGTTGCTGTCACTCAGTGGTCTTCTAGCCCCTCCTCTCGAGTGGACAGCCCCCAGTTCTGTTCATTTCCAGCCAGCTGAGCAGCAGATGCGTCTAGTACTTTGTAAAATGAGGGGACTGGCTTGAGAGACTGAGAAAGTCCCTTCTAGCTCTGAGATGCAGTGGGCCCTGTATGATCTCCCCTGCTGTGTCTAAGACCTACACTGCTAGACTCACTCTGGAAGGACCTAGCCATCTTATTGCTTTTGAGGGTATAAAAGATGCCAATTATGCGACTGAAAGAGCAGGCTTGGCAGAATCGTCGAAGACACTGCTGTCATCTGGCCACCAGTATACATCTTAACCATTCAACAATCAAGTTATTAAATTCCTATTATGTATCAGAAACCATGTTAGGCAGTGCGGGGCAGTGGGGGAGGGTGCGGGGGTGGAGGAGGTGGAAACAGAGAAAAGGTGGTCCCTGCCCCACTGAAGGAAACAAGCATGTTCAATAAACAATTACAATCAAGTGTCATGATGATGGTGATGATGGTGATGGTGGTGATGACGGTGATGATGATAGCATCTAGTACTTGTACTCTATATTTCTTTAAAAATACAGAGAGAAAGAGAGCATTGGAGTCTCACTCTGTTATGCACACTGGAGTGCGTTGGCATAACCATGACTTGCTGTAGCCCCAGTCTCTTGGGGTCAAGGGAACCTCCTTCCTCAGTCTTAAGTAGCTGGGACTACAGGTGCATGCCATCATGTCCAGCTAATTTGATGTTTTTTTTGTAGAGACTAGCTCTTGCTATGTTGCCCAGGCTGATCTCGAACTCTTGGGTTCAAGCAATCCTCTCAACTGGACCTCTCAAATTGCTGGGATTATAGGTGTGAGCCACCACATCCAGTTGGCGACCTCAGTATTTCTTTATCTATTGCACTGTATTTTCCCAAAGGAGAAGTGTAGAGTATTATAGCACCTCAAAGCAGAGATTAATTAAATCTAACTAACTAAACTTAACTAAGCTAAAACGATGCAGTCAGAGAATGCTTCTTAAAGACTGTGATATCTAGGTTAACACCTAACCAAATGAGTTAGCCAAATGACTTTGCAACTACAAACTGTTCATGGTCTCTACAAATAGCAGTAGGATATTTTTATCATAAAATGACACCGTTCACTTGAAATGATCAGAACAGAATTAGATAACTGTATGATTATATTATGAGGCCACAGGTCTGGGAAATGTCATAGCATATTCAATAAACTGCCTATTTCATTTTTTAGAGACAGGTCTCATTCTGTTGCCCAGGTTGGAGTGCAGTGGCATAATCATAGCTCATGGTAACCTCGAATTCCTGGGCTCAAGTGATTCCCATCTCAGCCTCCTGAGTAGCTGGAACTACCTTGCTCACTTCAACAGATGATTAAATCCTCAAGGGCAGCCGGGCTAGATGGCTCAGCCTGTAATCCCGCGCCTTTGGGAGGCTGAGGTGAGTGGATTGCCTGAGCCCGCGGGTTTGAGACCCGCCTGGGCAGCGAGACCTCATCTCTACAATCAATCAAAAACAAAAAATCAGCCGGGCGTGGTAGTGCATGCCTGTAATTCCGGCTACTCAGAAGGCTGAGGCGGAAGGATCGCCGGAGCCCAGCAGGTCGAGGCTGCGGTGGCCGGGAGCGGCCACTGCACTCCAGTCTGGGCAACGGAGTGAGACTCCAATTCAAAAAAAAAGAAATCCTCAAGAACAAGGAGGAATGAACTGCACAGGAAGAGCCCCCTTGGATGATGTTCTTCCAGAAACAAAGGCCTCAGGTAGAAAGGAAGGTAGAAAAAGGAAGGAGGAACAAGGCAGGAAAGCATGTGCTCAATCAACAGGGTACAATCTTTTCATAAACTTTTTTTTTTTTTTTTGAGTTGGAGTCTCACTCTTTGCCCAGGCTGGAGTGCAGTGACATGCTCACGGTCATCACAGCCTCTACCCACAGGGATCAGGTGATCCTTCTGCCTCAGCCTTCCAAGTAACTGGGACGACAGTCACGTGCCACCACACCCAGATAATTTTTTGATTTATTGTAGAGATGAGGTCTCACCAAGTTGCCCAGGCGGGTCTCAAACCCCTGGGCTCAGGCAGTCCTCTCACCTCGACCTCCCAAAGTGCTAGGATTATAGGTGTGAGCTACTGTGCCCAGTCTCCATAAACTTCAGGTGTTACCTGTCTTTTAAATTTTGTTTTAGAAATGAGGTCTCGCTATGTTGCCCAGGCTGGTCTGGAACTCCTGGGTTCAAGCAATCCTCTCACCTCAGCCTCCTGAGTAACCCAGACTATAGGTGTGTGCCATCACACTCTGCCACTCCAGAGTTTTTGTTCTGACTGTTTCCACGTTAAGGAAAATAAGTATTTAAACACTTTTTAAAATATGGAGATGGAGTCTTGCTGTCTTGGTCAGGATGGTCTTGAACTGTTGGCCTCAAGCAGTCCTCCTGCCTCAGCCTTCCAGGTGTGAGCCACCACACCCAGCCAGAATATGTTTGCTATAGAGTACTATATTAAAATCTCACATATTTTTGAGACTATTTTATTTTCTTTGACATTTTAAAATCATCTCTCCCACCAGAAACAAACACAAAGCTTGGCATCACAGTAGGTGCTCCGCAATCTTCCATTGATTAAATTAACCCAAGTTCACCCTATACATTAACTTGCACAAGGTCACACAGCTAGAAAGTGGCTGAACATAGGCTGGGCGCA